CCTGGCGGAGCATGCTCGACTGTATGCGCTTGCGCAACCTCGCCTTGGAAAACTCCTTGACGGCCTGGGGCAGGTAAGCACGGCCCAAATTGAATGTGATAGTCGGCGGATGACTGACATATTCGGTACCAAACTGATCGACAGCGAGGTGGACGGCGCCGTAGGAGCCTCGGCCAATCTCCTCCTTGATGATGTACTGGTTGATGCGGTGGTGGCTCTGGCCCTCGTCCCCTTCGCCGGGGTACTCTGTGCGGGCGTCGAGAGTCTCCTTGACCTCGCGGTGGGCGGATGGTGTGCGACGGTGGTGGCGCATGGGGCTGTGATAGCTCTTGGTGTGTGCTGTGGGTTCCGAGCTGCGATTGATACGACGTCACATCAGATCCCAGAATGTAGGTAGTTTCAGAAACAGAGAGTGGTGGAGATGGGCAGCGGGGTTGGCTGAGGCGGTGCAGGATATCATATGCAGCCCTACGGTGATGTGCGTGCGGCGCGGGGTGGATGAGGGTGAGACCAGACCAAGGCATTGGATTCGCGAGAAGGCTGGACGTACATGTGAGGGGTCAGGGGTGGACGAGGCTCGGAATCGGAACCGTCGCCGCTATGGATGGCAATCTCGGGCGAGGACAGGCTCGCGGCCGGTATCTCGGGATCGGCCATTGTACTGTTGGTGATGTTGGACGAGGAGGAGGAAGGAGGAGGGAGGGGTGAAGTGCGCAACCGGATAAGGTGCCTGTGGGATGAAATGGCACGAGAAAAGTAGAAAAGGGAGGCAAGTCAAGAAGAATGAAGAGGGAAAAAAAAATAGAAAGAATAGGAAAAGAACGCGTGTCGCTGGAGCAGGGGTATGAAGGTAAGTTGAAGGCCTCAGCGCCAGCAGTCGTGGGCTTGGGAAGGTGTAAAGCAGTGATGATGGGGGCAGGTTGAGAAGGCAAGGGCGGCAAGGCTGTGGGTATGGATGGGTATAGCAGCACAGAGAGAAAAGAAGCACGGCAGTCCGCAGGTTGGCAGTCCCTCTGGTTGCAGGCCTTGGTGGCCGGGCACTGCACAGCCAGCTGGGCGCACTTCAGCTCGTCTGACAGGCAAGCGCGTGCGGGATGGCGCTTGGGATTCGCGAGCTTCCGCAGCTGTGTGATGGCGGCTTCGAATGCCCCTCATTTTGCCAGCCTTGGGGGCAGCAGCCGAGCACCCCACCCACCCAGACCAAGGTACCTGGCCTGCCTGGCAAGCTGAGCTTCGCACCAAAGTACATGTACCCGTGCCCCGCGTCTCCACCAACCCCCCTGGAAGCAGCATCTATCTGACCGACCCTGACCGAGACGACACCTCGAACTGCCTCTCCACGACGACACACCTAGGCTCGAGCTGTCTATCAACCAATCCGCGACCCCATCACGAACCACACTGCGACCTCCAACGGAGCTTCCACCTGCAATTGACCAACCTCTCCTGGAGTCTGTCGGGACCTGTTACGGAAATAAAGAGGACGGGCATCAGGACTTGGCACGCATTTCGTCGGTGCGGCAGCCAAGAGAGAGCCATAGCTCGCCGTCACCATGCCTGTCTACTCAATATACATCTTTGACCGTCACAGTATGTTCTATCATCTCCTCTCCTGAACCTCACCGCCCGGCTCTGGCTCCCCTATGCTAACGCAAATCCAAAGCCGACTGCGTCTACTCCAAAGCCTGGCTACCACCGCCCTCGCGTCCCCTCTCCCAATCCTCGACCTCGACCACCGCCCTCCAACACCAGCAACAGCAACAACAACAACAGCAGCAGCAGCAACCACCACCGCCGGCCCCCGCCCCCGTCTACCCTCACCACCACGCCTCCTCCAGCGACGACGCCAAGCTCGTCTTCGGCACCGTCTTCTCCCTGCGCAACATGGCCCGCAAGCTCGGCGGCGACGACGACGCCTTCATCTCCTTCCGCACCGCCACCTACAAGCTGCACTACTACGAGACCCCTGCCAACCTGCGCTTCGTCATGCTCACCGACACGGGCGCCCTCAGCATGCGCAACGTCCTGCACCAGATCTACATCAACCTCTGGGTCGAGTACGTCGTCAAGAACCCCCTCGCCCCCGTCGAGCACAAGGGCGGCGCCGGCGTGCGGAACGAGCTGTTCGAGCTTGGCCTTGACCAGTTCGTCCGGGGGCTGAGCTGAGATGAGCTGTGTTGCGCCTGTTGTGTCTACTGCGCCTGTTGTGCCGGTGGTACCGGTGGTCGTCGGAGCTGGTAGTGGCTTGGTGTGGCGGGCACGATGTGTTCTTTGCATGAAACCCTGCGGTGCTGGGTGCCACGAGATTACGATCATCTTGACATTGGCGGCCATAGATTTTGTAGCGTTACCTTTTCATGGTTTTTCTTTTCGTTAATAGAGACTGGGTTTGGCCCTGCTATAACTGCGCACCCTGTGTTCATATTTTCTGGAGCTCGGTTCCTTGTGCGATCATCATCTGACTAATGCTGTGCGCATGTCTTGGTCAGAATGTCACGCGTTGACTTGGTCTTTCTGATCAATGAGGCCAGACATGCAAAAGCCTGTTCAAAGTGTTGGCAAAGATTTGAGCGAGCAAAAGTATGCCTCCAGCGACACGGGAG